GCGACAAACAAAAACGGGGGGTGGATGGACTCTTCGGAAGCATGTGCGAGGGGTCCATCCCGCGAGCCCTGGGCACACCCACGGGCTGTTCGCGGGGTAAATAGTTATCTGCCAGGGCTCGGAACTCTGATGCGACGATGCGAGAACGATGACCTCGACACCGTGCCTTCGACCTTCACAAGGCCGATCTCTGGCTGCTGTGGAGTTTTGGGGTCAGCCAAAGAACGATAATAACGTTCTTTTGGTACTGGTTCCGTCTTTCCAAAACGTTTGACCGAAGGCGGACAAGCACGTGTCAGAAGCCTCACGTTCAGCTGGCTCGGGCCTTGGGCTTAGCAAGCAGATTATCACGCTTGGCGCCGCCATCACATGCCAAATCGCCCTGCTTCGCTGACAGCGGCAGACAGCCCTTCCTTGCGTAATTCGCAAAGAGGGACAAAATTTGGGCCGAGATTATTTCCACAGCGATCTCCATTTGAGCCATTCAATGCGCTCGACGTGCAATGCTTTTTCTTGCAGCGGATCTTCTGGTCTTCGACGGACGGACTAACTCGACGTAACAACCACTGTCGCTCAACAAATGAGGCTGGAATCAGAAGCTCCGTAGACGGCCATCGCGCATCGTGAACAAAGATGTTCACGTGGGAGCCAGAGTGGGGAGAAGTGGCGAGCTTGAGCTCCAAAGTAACCGCAGGCGCACAGCGCACCGCAGACACACCGATGTCGATCACCACCACGTTGCGGCCAGGAGATTGGAGCCCAGCCCATCAAGAGGAATGTGGAACGTGGGGACATCGTCATTACATAGTTCTCAGCAAGCAGTGGACCTGACATCAGACGGTTTGAGGTAGGCTTGCTTGCCGTGTTCAACATGGTCAGTGATGGAATGTCTGGTGCCTCTGACGCCGCCCGAGCAATAGTATTCGTGCCTCGATGAGCAACATGCTCAGCCAGCTCTTATGGCACCGTCAAGATTTTTCTCCGCGTCTCGAAATCGCAGAATCACCAGGGCATCACGATTCAGATCCGACAAAATGCCGGTCCAGTTGCGAGCAGGGTGTAATGCACTGTCTAATGGACGCGTTGAAGAGAAGAAGATAAAACTCAACGCAGAAAATTTGCGAGCGAAAAAATAGTGCTGCCTCGACAGGTGGTCCAAGCGCCATGACCCCACAGGGTTCGGCGCCACGTTTGGCCTTTCGCCTTTTGCGTTCAACGTGGGGCAGGCGGGACCTGAAGTGGCCCGTGCTTTATGCCACGCGCAATGTCATCCCGTCAACAAGTGGCATCTCGGTGCGGTGAGCTGCGTTTGATGCAAAGATCCATATCGACAGTGCAGTTGACTCCGGACGGGCCGCTCCCAGCTACGACCTCCGCGACACAATTGGGGCACTTCCGCTGAAACACACCGTTTTCCACCGCATGAAATAGCAGTGCTGCGACCGGAGTCCGGCGTTTGGCGCCCAATTTTGATACTCGAGTCCCGACCGTTCGTTCCCCTCCATCGCCGATCCTAGCTCCGCACCCGGTAGCAACCCGGAGCTCCCTGCCATCGCTGCCGCCGCTGGCCGCAGCGCAACCTCAACCATGGCGTCCGCCCTCTTCTTCCTCGACCTCAAGGGGAAGACGCTCCTTGCGCGGAACTATCGCGGAGACATCCCCATGTCTGCCGTTGAGAAGTTTCCTGTGCTCCTCAGCGAGGCCGAGGAGGAGTCGTCAGCAGTCCCTCCGTGCTTCTCCCACGAAGGCATCAACGTGCGTCCGCTCTAGTTATCCTTTCGCCTCTTGCTTCCAACACAGAGCGCCTGCTGACCGTTAGTTGCTTCCAGTACCTCTACATCAGGCATAACAACCTCTACCTGCTCGCGCTCACGAAACGGAATACCAACGCCGCCGAGATCCTCCTCTTCCTCCACAAGGTTGTCGAAGTCTTCACAGAGTACTTCAAGGCGCTCGAGGAAGAATCCATCCGCGACAACTTTGTCATCATCTACGAACTGCTGGACGAGATGATGGACTTTGGATATCCCCAAACAACTGAATCCAAGATCCTCCAAGAATACATCACTCAGGAGTCGCATAAGCTCGAAGTCCAAGCTCGGCCACCGATCGCCGTCACAAACGCCGTCTCGTGGCGCTCCGAGGGTATCAGGTACCGAAAGAACGAAGTCTTCCTCGATGTCGTCGAGTCGCTCAACCTGCTGGTGTCTTCGAACGGCAACGTGCTGCGATCCGAGATTTTGGGAGCTATCAAAATGAAGTGTTATCTGTCGGGCATGCCGGAGCTGCGCTTGGGGCTAAACGACAAGGTCATGTTCGAGACAACGGGCCGGACAACTCGGGGGAAGGCGATCGAGATGGAAGACGTCAAGTTCCACCAGTGTGTGCGCCTGTCGCGATTCGAGAACGACCGTACCATCAGCTTCATTCCGCCCGATGGTGAGTTTGAGCTCATGTCGTACCGTCTCAATACCCAGGTCAAGCCGCTCATCTGGGTCGAGTGTGTGGTGGAGTCGCACAGCGGCTCTCGCATCGAGTACATGCTGAAGGCGAGGGCGCAGTTCAAGCGCCGAAGCACGGCAAATAACGTTGAGATCATCGTCCCAGTTCCTGATGACGCCGACACCCCGCGCTTCCGCACGAACGTTGGCTCGGTGCACTACGCCCCGGAGCAGAGCGCCATTGTATGGAAAATCAAGCAGTTTGGCGGCAGCAAGGAGTTCCTCATGCGGGCTGAGTTGGGGCTTCCAAGCGTTAGGGGCGACGATGAACACGGCGGTGGTATGACGGGTGGCTTTGGCGGCAGCATGGGTGGGGTTGGTGCGCCTGGCAAGGGCGCAAAGAGGCCAATCCAGGTCAAGTTTGAGATCCCCTACTTTACCACCAGTGGTATCCAAGTGCGGTATCTGAAGATTACCGAGCCAAAGGTATGTCTTGTCTCCGCTCTACTTCAGCACATAGCTAACAGCTTCAGCTCCAATATCCGTCACTTCCTTGGGTACGATACATTACACAGTCAGGAGATATTGCTGTTAGGTTGCCTGATGCTGTATGATCATTGCCTTGTCAAACGGCATTTTGAAGATTTAGTTGGGAGGAGCGGTGTCTTCCAGCTGTCGCTGGGAGGTCGAGTTTTGTTGGCGCTCGGGTTGGGCAAAAGGGCCAAGGGGCGTACAGGATTATGACGAGCGAATACAATAAGATCAACACGAACGAGCAGCCAAGATGGCAACCGATGATACCCAGTACGGCCTTGCGGCTATTTGTGTGACAATTTTAGGGTGGTTCACACCCGGACATATCAACAGTTGTGAGTCTTTTCTCTCATGGCACTATCACTGACTACATACAGTCCCAAGAGACACACAAGTCCCAGGACGCTGCTGTCACCAGACGCTCACTTCCTCAACTTCTTCCCCTTCGCCTTCCCCTTCCCCTTGCCCACAGTCGGCCCCGAACTCCCACCCATCGGCGTGATCGTATGCACAAACCGCAACTTGCCGCCCTCCAACCGAAACTCATGGCTATCCGCCAGACTCCCAAACGTCAAAAAGATATCCACCACACCCACCGTCTCATCAATCACATAGCGCCTGTTCGTCAACTTCACCCCATCCGGAATCCCCACATCGCACCGATCATTCGGTCCCCCGTTCCCCGTATACGCACCCCCTTCCAGTCTACTGCACGGCCGTCCCCACGGCACGACCACGCTCTTATCATCGAAGATATCCAGATAGGCATCGCCCGCCGCCTTGATCGCCGCGCGGGTGTCGCGCTTCTCCACGGGGATCTCACTCCAGTTTTCTTTGCTAGCCCAGTTGAGCGTTCCCGTGGCGTTGAAGAGCCAATCGCCGGTGGTGGTTGTCAGGGCGTCAATCTTGGAGATGGAGCCGTTGGTGAACCAGAGTTGGTAACCATTCACATAGGGGACGGCGCCCGTGGCGGAGATGTATTCGGTGTAAGTGGCGCATTGGGTGGTGTCGAGGACGTGCCGGGTGTGGTCAGGTTTGATGGCGGTGGTGAGGATGGAGCCGCTAGCGAGGGTGGCGTCTTTGAAGTTTTGGTGGTAGATTGTGGTGGAGGTGACCGGGGAAAGGAGCGAAGGGTTGCCGGCGGTTTGGGCGGCGATGAGGGAGTCGGCGGCGGATTTGAGGAAGGCGCGGGTGCATTCCTGGGCGAGGGAGGGGGTTGTGAGAGCGAGGAGGAGGGGGAGCATCTTGGTGGCCATCTTGATGGTTGGGTGATGTGCTCAGGGGTAGCTAGCTGAGGACAGGTTGGGGGTTGGCGTTCAGGGCAAGGTGAAGGCCATCGTGACCGGGGATATATACCCCACCCGAGTTGGAATGGACTGGACTCTTGCCCCTTGCAGATATCATGGTGTTGCTCGATCTGCCGTCGGTAATAGTGGGAGACGTATAAGGGGGCCCCGCATCGTGGCTCCAAACAATATACGGCACCAATCGCAGCACTCAGCCTAAACCGTGGCAGTGGCGGCTCAACAACGAAACGGGATTCTAAGCTTCGAGAACGCAATAGCGGGAATGCATCTTCCACCTTTCGAGGGGAAATGAGGTGGTTTGGAGTATTACGTGGACTGCCACTCCGCACGGCATTCCCCTGGATTGCGGAGTGCACAACAACGCCCGATGAGCGCTTGCAGTGCTTGCACGTTTCGTATGCGTCTACTAGGTGGTCGCTGTCGTCCTATTTATGGTCTCAAAAGTTGCTGTCGACTGACTGGCTTCGAGATGTTTGTTGAGCATGTGTACCCGTGACCATCAACCTCATTCCGTTGAGTTCTGTCGTCGGGGCTGGTATCTAAGCATATGCATGTACGTATCAATATAATAGATAATACATTGTGTCCCATGTGGTATTTTGCTTTTTCGTCTCCGTTGGGGTAAAGGCGAGACTTGTTCAATTCTTGTGTTTTTTGTCGCCAAAAAGTGGCGGGTACATGTATGGGTCTTACTGATAATTACATCATTCAATTGACAGGCAACTTGGCCGAGCGGTCTAAGGCGGTAGACTCAAGATTTGCAGTGATGCAGACGTCCTGGCCCCTCTAAGGGGTTGTATTCTACTCACGAAAGTGGCGTGAGTTCGAATCTCACAGTTGTCATCACTTTTTGCCCTCCCCACAACCGCTTCCCCCTTTTCTACAATTACTCAGTCAGATCTGGACAACCCTCTCTTTCGCTTTGAGATATGAAGAAAATGTATATATGGGAATGTTGAGGTCTGCAGCACTCCTCAGTCCCAACTTGCGCACCCCGATCACCTCTCTTTGACGGGGTATCCTTTTGCCTGTTGAGGACATGAGTTCGCATCTCATCTGATGGTTTCTGATCCCGTGAGCAGAAATGCAGGTCGTCCTACCCCCAGTTGTGAGTGTACTGCTTTTTTCTCTCTAGGGATGGTGTTTCTGCCTTGCAGAAACGTGACTCTCCTGCGATGAGCCCGGCATCGGCGAACTCGTTACATGCAGGTACGTCGGCAATGGCCGTGTGACAGACAGCCGTCAAAAAGTGAAATATGACGGAAAACTGCGGGTGATCGGAAGATGCCGTAGACACATCAACCTCTGTCCATCACCACCATTCTTGGTTCTCCAACACATGTTGATGCACATGAAAACGATGAGCGATTTAGCTGATCCTTCTGCCCAAACCAAGGAACCCAACATGAACGGATGGCATCTGTCGCCAACGGCGGATGCTCAATTGCGGAAGTGCCGAGACACCCGAGACCTCACCACTAACACGTTTTCCAACCCTCCATCTCGTGGCACTTGTCGTAGGAATGCCCTCACCGCTGTATCACCATGCATGTCGGCAGCTCTGTCGTCAGCAAGACATCCACGTCGATCACCAAACCTGCTGTCTTACCCTCCATTTCTCTAAGGAGGCCTTTGGAAAGAAAGAAACCCTCTCTAGCCGCCCTAACCAGCTTAATTTTCTTTATTTTTCATTCTTTAGAGACCGAAATTGCTTCATATCGGTCTTAGCCCCCGTCCTGATTCTCGGGCTCGTAGATAAGGGTTGGGCTTGATTCCAGGTTGCACCGCGTGTTGGTTTGGGTTCCCAAGGCAGGCATGTACCCCTGATTGGCTTAACCCTCTCGCGCCATCCGAGGTTCCCTGCACCCCAATCTCTGGGTTTGTTTCAGTGGAAAGTCGGGGTGCATGTTCGATGCATCTGGCGGATGCCGGTGACAACTGACACGTTGGGCGTAGGAATGCGGGATGATGTCGTATAGAGCAACTGAGAAGGTGTCACGTTTTGTTTGGTTACCGACAGAGTTTTGTGTTTCCCTACTTCTTCCTCTTCAGCAATGCCGAGTTTGTTGCCGGGTAATGCGTAAGTCAAGTTGGGACCCGTGATGGACCGGATGTGGGACAAGTAAGAAAACGGGATCGATACACGGGTTGGCTTGTTGTCTTCGGGACGGGTCTGGTCGAAGCTATTGTGAGATTAGGCATTACTCACCATGTTTGCGTTTTGCGTTCATGGCAGCCCGACGGTGTACGTTCCGTGTCCGCGAGAGGAAAGGTAGCATGCCCAACACGACACTGGGGGGGGGGGGGGGGAAGTTGCCTGAAGATCAGGTTTTGACCACGATGCGTTCGCATATATCAACTCCCCAGTCGGTCGTATAACCACGATGCACTGTGTGAGAACCTTTATCATATTCAAGTTCCATCTTGCTCAAAACAACACTACCCCTGAATCCTCACCCCCTACCACAATGAGTTCTAACAACCATGTAACTTAGTTCCCCGCCCCCCCCCCCCCCTTCTACGACTTTCCCTGCCATGATATCTAACAACAAGCAGCAAAGGCACCGAACCGCCCAAGCCAACTCTCACCACAAGTCCCACAAGCACAAAGACTCATCCAGAGCCACCACATCGTCCGGCACCAGCAGGAGCGCCACCGCCCTGGACCCAACCAACGTGTCTTTCCTCTTCGTCGTCAACGAATTCGACATCGACTTCGAAGACGATCCCGTCTACGACCCTTGGCTCAACTACCTCCCCCCGACCTCCCAAACCCACTACCGCGGCGAATACCCCGGCACCGTCTTCCGCTACCGCGCCGGCACCATCACCCCCGCGGCCAACTACAAGTGGTACCGCCCCGAAATGGGCCAAGAAGGCCACATATCCTACGTCGACCCCACCACAGGTCTCATCACCGCCGCGCCGGACCCCTACCGCACCGAGACCATCTTCTCCTGCAACGCCCACCTCCCGCTCATCACCCTCCAGTCGGACGCGTCACTTGGTAGCTACCACCGCAGCAACTGCCCCAAGGGTTGCGACGCCGTCTTTCAGGATGGGGATCTCCTCCCCTGGAACATGTTGCACATCAACCACCCGCGCCATCTGCAAGGAGTGTCGCTGGTCAACAGCGGGCAGCAGGGGTATACGTTTGTGGCGGGAAAGAGTCCGAAGTGGATGCCGGCGTTGGTGCCGAGAGTGTTTGAGAATATAGAGAGGCATACGACGCCGCAGTCGCGCGGGCTGGGAGGGGACTTGCCCGTGGTGATTGGGCTGATGGCGTTTCATGCGAGGAGGACGGGGAATGCGAGCGCGGTGTTTGAGAGGGGGTGGTGGCAGGGTGGGAAGTGGAGGGGGCCGGCGGAGGTTCCGAAGGGGTGTAAGTTTTTCCTTTTACCTTGTTTGGTGGAAAATCAGTGGAAAATGTTCTGACGTGAACAGACCCAGAGACGCCGGAAAGCAACCCGAGGGGTTTCCTCGTACAGATCAGTCCCGACTACAGCAGCGATGAACTTGCTGCTTTCCAGATGGCAGATTTCGGGTACATGGAGGCCATCACGGACAATATCTTCCAAGGCTTGCAGTATCTCGAGGAAAATGGCGTTCTTGTAGAGGGCTGACAACGACTGTTTTAGCCTCAATGCTTTCCTCTTGAGATTTCCGCTCCTCTGCACATCAGTCAGTTTTTCAGTGCAAAATCAACACCGTGTAACCTCATCCCTCCCACAAACCAAAGTAAACACCCTAGCTCAGATCAATAGCCACAATCCCCGCAGTAACCGTCTCTCCCCCCTGACCAACGGTAGCATACAAAACCCTCCTATCCGCCGCCCTCCTCCCAAACACCGCCGACGTGCACAATCCCGACCCCGACCCTGACAAATTGTCCGCCACGACCGTCTTCGCCCCCGTAGCAAGCACAACCTCCACCACCTCGTTGTCGTACATAGCCGCCACGTACGCCTTCCTCACCGTCCCATCCCCCCTAACATCCAACGCAAAGTCATCAATCTGGTTTGTCGCCAAAACCTCCGCACTCCCCGTCGGCAGCGCATCCCCATCCACGCTCACCCGGCTCAACGTCTGCACATTATGGTTCGCCCAATACACATACCCCGGTGCCACCTGCACACCATTAACCCCCGACATGCTCACCAACGGCGTGGTATACGTCCCCGTTTCCACATCCATCAGATAAACCGCCTCATTCAGCGTATCCCCGATGAGAACCCTCCCCTCGTCAAACCCAGCCAGACCATTCAGAAACCCCGCCTCGGGAAGTGCCTTGAGGAGGCTCACACTCGGCGACGCCCCATTGAAGGAAAGAGTCCACACCTTTGCGCTTCCTGGTTCGACTTGGAAGGGGGCGGGTATGTACGCGCTTGCAAACACGTACGTCTCTGCGCCTTCGCCGTGGCCTTTGCCTTTTCCCTTTCCTTTGCCCTTGCCCTTACCCTGCTGGGCGGCAATTTCAACTTGGGAAATACCAGTTAAATTGAAGGCGCCCGAGACGGAGACCAAAAGCGAACCGGTGCGCGTCGCGGGGTCGATTTGCCAGATCTCGGGAGCGTCGCCGCGGGTGGCGAGGATGTTTCCGTTGGGACGCACGGCGAGGTTTTCGAACCAGGCGGAGGGGTTGGGCGGGCCGGGGATGGAGAAGATGCTTTCGAAGGGGGCGGCGGAGGTGAGGAGGGGTGCGGAGAGCAGGGCCAGGGTGAGGGACCGGGGGGTGAGGGAGGGGATCATCTTGGTGGCTAGTGGTTGGTGGTGGATTGGGATGATTGAGAGTGGGAAAGGGAGGAGGGAAGAGGGAGGAGGGAAGAGAGAAAGCAGTGATTTAAGAGTAAACATAATAAATAAGCACCGACAGAGAAAATCAATAGTCGGCGTCAGAGCGTGGTCGGTGATAGCACTACGCCCGCTCAGGAAACCCCACTGCTTGGCAGGCGCGGGTATAGGATGTTGCCAGCGGGTCTGAGGGTTGACCGGGGTGGTGGTGATGTCTGCGCCGCTGGGTTGGTCACGAATATTGCTGCCAAGGCTCTGGGTATCATGGGTCTGTAAAGCGAGGGTTGTGATACCAATCTAACTCGTTGCCTTTCAGGGGACCTGCTGTTGATGTCGTATTGCGGATCATGTCTGGTTTCTGGGAATGCGGGGGTGGATGAGATGGACAGAACCCTGCGTTGAATGTGCAGAAAAGTTTCGTCGTGGGAAAGAGCGAAGGTATTCACTTGCTCGGCTCGCTTTTCCGAAATAAATTTCCGATTGGGAGATCTTGCTGCTTGTCGTGCCTTCCTCGTATGCTCGTCTGGGCTTCCTGTCTGCGGAGGCAGTGGGAGGGCCCCTTCCAACAAGCGTCACTCCATCCCGCACTCGGCTCGTTTCAGTCCGAGAACTCCCCCCGTTCACCAACAAAACAAACAGCTCACGAAATCCATTTCTTTGCATCCGCATTACTTCAATATGGCATACGAGTATCCCCCCCACATCGACCTCACCGTCCCCCTCCCAAGCGGCCCTATCCTCAACGTCCGCGTCTGGCCCGCCGACCCCTCTCCTCGACCCTCGCCTTTCGTCCTCTGGACCCACGGCGGCGGCTTCATCGCTGGCTCCCACTTTATGCCGCTCTACTGGCTCGACATTGGTTTCCGCCGCGGCCACAAGTATCACCTCATCTCCCACAACTACCGCCTCGCGCCGCAAGTCTCTCTCCGCGAGCAACTCGACGACTGCCTTTTCATCGTCCACTGGCTGCGCGAGAACCTCCCTGCCATTCTAGGCCCCGATCGCGTGGATGTAGACCGGTACGCGCTCTCGGGGGATTCCGCTGGCGGACT